GTTTGGTGGATGTACATAATCGACTTGTTGTGCAGAAAACCCTCGATGGTGCTCTGTTCCAAAAGCCATTTCCAAGTTTAAACAGGGTGACAGTGTTTCAGCCTGTAACAGTGACAATAATAATAATATTCCTTGCATTCGATACAGCGCCTTATCGTGTCGTCGAGACGTCTCAAAGCCCTTCACGGGCTATACTGTAAAAAGCGAATCGAGTGTATGCCTCGCGGGCGAAACGCGGCAGCCAACTGCGCACGGGAGCATCTCACAAACGGGTCGAAGTGTCCCATTTATTATTGATTAAGAATAATAACCCTTGCGCCTTATAATAATAACCCTTGCGACACGGCGCCTTATCTCGTCTCCGAGACGGCTCAAAAAGCCCTTGGCTGGATACGCTGTAAAGCGAATCGACTCTGCGTGCGTGCGTGTGTATGCGTGTTGTCCACAAGGCTACAGCGCCTTGTTTGGAGGGACTTCAAATTCCTGGCCGCCCGGTCCGTCCTGCCAAATCGTTGAAAGATCCTCCGTAGGACACTCGCAATCACTCACTCACTCACTCAGCACGACTACGGCAACAGCTACACAAACATACGAGGAAATGAACTTTGTATGGGGTGGGTGGGGGGCGGGGGGGGAATAGAGAGGAGAGGGAGGGTGGGGAGAGGGAGAGAGAGAGAAAGAGAAAGTCACCCCCACCCCCCTCTTGTTTTCCGGTCAGGTGATGGAAGGCATTTCCAAATATAGTCACATCAAGGCCATGGAAGCCGACACATCAAAGGCAGCCACTGACTGCAAGAGCTCACTTCAATCCCCTCCACTGCGCTTGCAGACATCACAACAACGCCGTGGGTTTTCCCACGCCACACACACGCCATCTCCATCTCTCTCTCTCCCTCCCTCCCCCGCATCCAACCGCCTCCCCCCCCCACCCCCAACACCCCCTCCGCCCCCCCCCCACCCCCAACACACCACAGCCCCGCACATTCCGAGCTATAAATGCAGCAACAATCAGCTCCCTTATTGCCGATGAAAAGCCCTGCAATTAGATTCTCTGCAGCTCCTGTGTGTGTGTGTGTGTCTGTGTCTCTGTGTGTGTCTCTGTGTGCGTGCGTGTGTCTGTGGCTGCCTATGTGTGTGCATCTGTATGTCTGTGTGTGTCTATGTCTGTGTGTGTCTCTGTGTGTGTATGTCCGCGTGCATGTGGCTGCCTGTCTCTGTGTGTGTCTCTGTGTGTGTGTCTATGTATGTATGTCTGTGTGTGTGTATGTGTATTTGTATGTCTGTGTGTATGTGTCTGTGTGTGTGTGTCAGAGAGAGGAGGGGAGAGGAGGTTAATGCAGCCAAGGCGTGAACTGGCGGAGACATCAAAGCACTCTCAAAGCCTGAGCATTAATGAGCCTTTTTTTTTGTTGTTGTTTCCTGGCTCCAATGCAACAGGTTCGCTCACATTTGCCAAGGAGGGAATTCTGTTGGCTTTCCTCCCCCCCCCAATCCCTCCCTCTCGCTCCCTCTGTTCCACGTGGGAGGGCTGGAAATCTCTGAGCAGCTTCTGTTTCTTTATTCTTGCCCAAACTGGAAATAATTATTATTGGAAGTTCAATTCTAGGCGAGCATATGTATGTATATATATATATGTATTCATACAGACACTGGCACACATAAAAGGTCTGTGATTGAAGCAGGATCTCGATAGCCCACCATAAGGGGTGCATATTCAGTGAGACTTCTATTAATAATTTGGATTATGCCTTTTATTGTACCACAATTACATAATATTAATATTAATAACAATCCTTGCATGCTGCATCAGCCAGCAACCTAGAGAGCAATTTTCTTCCTCTTCCAGGTCTCCCTCTAGTTGTTATTGAAGCAGTTAATACTGCAGGGATAGATAGATAGAGATAGATAGATAAAGAGATAGATAGACAGACAGACAGACAGACAGGCGTGGGTGTGTGAGTTGTGTGAGCCTGATGGCAAATCTGTAAAGGAGGGAGGGCGGAAAAGAGGCACAGATTTCTGACAGTCAAATCTATATGCAAATAGAGGGAAATGCTCATTGTGATTTCATTGTGTGCCTGGGAGCAATGTAGTACAGTGAGCAATAATCCGATTTTAAAAAAAAAATTGCTGGTAACATAAAAAGACAATTGTAGTGAGCATGAGGCTAGCATGGGTGTAGACTGTAGCCAGCCAGGCTGAGGGCTGAGGGCTGAGTGGGAGATAATTTCATGTTTCCACAGCTTGGGGCTGTGCTGTGATGTACTGTACTGAACAGAAAGTGGTATACTGTGTCCTGAGTGTCTGATGTAATGTCTATGGTTTTAGTAGAAGCAGAAATAAGTGAAATGTCTATTTTCTTTTTTGAAAAAAGTTTACTTAACTGATTTGACTGACTGAATGAATGAATGAATCAATTAGGAACTTTCAAACCAACAGAAATGCAAGACAGAGTTACACCATGGCATGGGTATATGTTTCTATCGAGAGGCATTTTTGGACTCGATGTGTTTATCTCTTTTACATGAAGACCTTCCTCTTTGACCGTAAGCGTTACCTGGCAGTAAGTAGGGACCCGGTTGTTAGCCGATTGGTGGATCGCTCTTCCAGAGGGTAATAATCCATTCAAAAAATATATACCAAAAGAAATTAGTCACTTCAATCCACGACTGTTTGCGGGACACTGCTGTGCGCAATTGGCTGCCGCGTTTCGCCCACAAAATATAAAGTCAATTCACTTCACAGTGTATCCTGTGGAGCACTTTGAGACGTCTCGAAGACGTGATAAGGCGCTGTAATCAAATGCAAGGATTATTATTATCTCCATGTGAATGTGAATCCTAATGCATGTATGTGTCCCTATGTATGTGTCCCTGTTTAATAGATGCGTTGGAATATCTCAGTGTCTGTGGATGTGTATATTTGTATACATGACGCGTGTTCCTCTGTGTGTGTGGGTGTGTGCTCCTCTGTGTGTGTGGGTGTGTGCTCCTCTGTGTGTGTGGGTGTGTGCTCCTCTGTGTGTGTGGGTGTGTGTTCCTGTGTGTGTGTGGGTGTGCTCCTGTGTGTGTGGGTGTGCGCTCCTGTGTGTGTGGGTGTGTGCTCCTGTTTGTGTGGGTGTGTGCTCCTGTGTGTGTGTGGGTGTGTGCTCCTGTGTGTGTGGGTGTGTGCTCCTCTGTTTGTGTGGGTGTGTGCTCCTGTGTGTGTGGGTGTGTGCTCCTGTGTGTGTGGGTGTGTGCTCCTGTGTGTGTGGGTGTGTGCTCCTGTGTGTGTGTGGGTGTGCTCCTGTGTGTGTGTATGATTTTTGAGTGGTGGCTTTTACGTAATTGCGAATTTTTATGGAATTGTGAAGTATGCGACTGAACGTGTGCATAACTGTACGTCTTATGAGTATATCTCTGTATGCAATTTGTATCTGAGTGTGTTTGCCCATATGCAACAACAACAACAAAATTAGCGCCTTTCACGTCGGGAGGACATCCCAAGGCACTGGACAGATGTATGTTTCAATGTATTGTATGTTCACAGTATGCATCCCTGAAACTGCACTGCTTGTGTGTGTGTGTGTGTGAGTGTGTGTGAGTGTGAGAGAGAGATAGTTTTGTATTAGACTTATAAGACGTGAAAAGTGCCATATCAAATGCAAGGATTATTATTATTATTTTATGTACAGACTGAACTGGAGTAGATATTAGACTGGACATCAAGTTCTCGATTGATCTACGTGACAATCTCGCACTTAACTGCCCACAAAATATACAGTGTTATTTACAGTGTATCCTGTGAAGCGCTTCGAGACGTCCCGAAGACCTGATAAGATGCCACATCAAACGCAAGGATTATTATTATTATTAATAGTAACCCAGTACTCGCAATCCAAGCTGGATTTGGGACGTTTTTACCTCCTTTCCCAAACAAAACGAACCCCCAAATAAAGATTTTATTTTAACAATTCAAAGCCACACATTTTAAAAGAATGCAACCCCCCCCCCACCCCATCCCACCCCCCACTCCAAAAAAAAAAAAGTTTGAGGATGTTCTGATTACAAACAGAATCACAGTTTAAGATAGAATAACACACAGGAGAGAAAAAAATTGGGGAGAGAGAAGAGTTTGTGTCTAAAATCCTCATCGTTGCTCGGTTTGGGAGGGGAGGGGGTGGGTGGGTGGTGGTGGTGGGGGTATGGGGTGGGGGGGGGGGAGGGGGGGAATGTGTGTTAAACAGTTATTTGCAGTCACAGTGGTGTTATAAATAAGAAAGGGATTATGTCAAATTGCCTCTTTCTGTGCATATTAATATTGGATTAAAGGATAAGGTGAAATGGTATTAAAATAAAAGAGAGGGGGTGGGGGGGTGGGGGGGGGGGTTGGGGGGGAGTTGGTGGGGGTTGACTTGATAGGGAGGGGATGAACTTATTAGGGTGGGGGGTGAATAGGGTTCAGAAGTGTTTCGTTGATGCAAAAGCAATTGAATTCCCCTCTCGTCCATGAAGCTGTCAATCACCAGAGCCTTCTCTTTGATGTTGAGCAGAAGCCTTGGAACCTCCACACAAACTGCTTCAGATCTTTTTTTCTCTCTCTCTCTCTCTCTCTCTGTGTGTGTGTGTTATGTTGCAGTCGTACTTTCACTGAGATCCCCTTTTTCTCTCTCTCTCTCTCTCTCTACCTCCCTCCCTCCTTCCTTCCTTCCTTTCCTCCCCCCCTCTCTCTCTCTCTCTCTCTCTCTCTCTTTTTCTTTCTTTTTTCTCTCTCTCTCTATGTGTGTGTGTAATCCTTAACTGAACTAACTTTGCATTGGGGGCTGTGGGGCAAATAGGTGACAAGTCAGTGAGTGCTGTTGGAAGCAAGAAAACTGCAGAAGGACATTGCATTAACAAAACACCAACAAAAAGACAACACACAACAACAACAACAACAACAAACAAACCACCACCACCACCACCTCCTCCTCCATCTCCTCCTCCATCTCCTCCTCTCTCTCTCTCTCTCTCTCTCTCTGTCTCTCCCCCAAACCCACCCATCACCCCCCAGAGCAGAGATGCCGCAGTTGAACAGCGGCGGTGGAGATGATTTAGGGGCCAACGACGAAATGATCGCCTTTAAGGACGAGGGAGAACAGGAGGAGAAAATCTCGGAAAACGCACTCACAGAGAGGGATTTGGCAGAAGTCAAGTCATCGCTGGTCAACGAGTCTGAGACAAACCAGAGCTCAAACACTGCTGCATCCGACCCGGGGGTAAGGCTCTCCCTCTCTCCCTCTCTCCCTCTCTCCCTCTCCCCTCTCCCCCTCTCTCTCTCCCCCTCTCCCTCTCTCTCCCCCTCTCCCCCTCTCTCTCTCTCCCTCTCTCTCTCTCTCTCTCTCTCCCTCTCTCCCTCTCTCTCTCTATATATATACACATATGTTTATATAAATAAAAGCTTTACACACTCACCTCTTCGTCCCAGTTTCTCTCTCCCCTCTCTCTTTCATCCCTCTCTCTCTCTCTCTCTCTCTGTCTCTCTCTCTGTCTGTCTGTCTCCTCTCTCCTCTCTATTTATCTCAGTAAGTGCACTCACTCACTCACTCACTCACTCACTTTCTTACTTTACTTACTGACTTACTGAGTTACTGACTTACGTACTTACTGACTGACTTACTTATTAACTTACTGACTTACTGACTTACGTACTGACTGAGTGACTTACTTACTGACTTACTTACTGACTGACTTACTGACTTACTGACTTACTGACTGACTGACTGACTTACTTACTGACTTACTTACTGACTGACTTACTGACTGACTTACGTACTAACTGACTGACTTACTTACTGACTGACTTACGTACTAACTGACTGACTTACTAACTGACTTACTAACTGACTGACTTACTTACTGACTTACTCACTGACTGACTGACTGACTGAGTTATTTAACACACGCATTCACCCCCAACCACTCTAAATGCGATGCTCTGTGTCTCACACGATTTCCCACAGGCGATCAGACGCTCTCAAGACAGTCAAAGGCTTTACCAGGACAAGTCCAGAGGTCACATCGATGATGGTAAGGGAGAGAGAGAGAGAAAACCACCACATACACACACTTTATATATATATAGCTATATATATATATTTTGGGGGGGATTTGGGGTATATAAAAAACCTGACAAGTCATCAAAAACGCTCTCGTTTAATTATTGTTTCACTCCCCCCCCCAACAAAATAAAATAATTTACATTTCGAGTTTGTGAATATCATATCAGCCCATTCCCCTGTCTAAAACTTTGTGTTTTTTCCCTCTCTCTCTCTCTCTCTCCCTCTCTTTTTTCTCTCTTCTTCTCTCTTCTTCTCTCTTTCTCTCTCTCTCCTCTCTCTCTCTCTCTCTCTTGCCTTTGCCCTCCTGTGAACAGTTACAAAACAACGTCAAGATGGAGGTATGTTCAAAGGGACAACTTATTCTGGTTATTCACACTTTCTGATGCTTCAGGATCCCTACCTGCACAACGGATCCCTGACTCCATCGGTAAGTTCCAGCTGCTGACTTCATTCAGCTCACAGACAGTACCACAGCCTTGCACTGCCTTACTATATTCAGATGGTGATGTGTATATGTGTGTGTTGGAGGGGGGGTGTGGGATTCAAGTCATATTATTGCAGGAAATAAATACTCATCATCACAGTCATCATCTCAAAAGCCAAGTTATATGTCTGGTTTTCCTGTGCGCACACTCCCAACCAACCCTTTACCTTTCGGATTCCTGATTTTACCAAAAAAGAGACACCCAAATACTTTTTTTTGTTTGGGCGGGCGGGCGGGCGGGCGGGTGGTGGGGGTTTCTGATTTCACTTAAAATACCTTTGTCGTGTCTTGGAATGTTCCTGTGTTTCCCCCCCCAAAAAAAAACGCCTTTGGGTAACGTTTCGCACCCAGTCCCAGGGTAAGGTGGTCCATGTCCTGATGGGTTGCTCTGTGCTTTAGTTGACTCACTGAAAGGTAGTCATCATCTGGCCAAGGTTTTGGGGAGGAAGAGGGAGAGAAGGGTCTTTTGTCGCTGAGAGTTGACTTGCCCAAAGTTGATGCTCAAATTTATAGATCACTCTAAATACACTATACTTATTCCCCCCCTTTTTTTAAATACTCTTCCATCTAACTTTATTCTTTAATCCAACATTAACACCTTTCCTCACGTTGTGACTCCTTCCTTTCCACAACCAACACTGCAGCAAAACTCTTCCATCCTCAGAAACATAAGTGTCGGATGATGTTGGATGAGAAGGGAAACTTCTAAGGGATTGGCACTTCTTATCTCTTACTGTACCACCATCAAAGGACAGGTGTGGGTAGGTGAGACACAGAGACAACATTGGGGCACCTTCACAATAAATAGCTTAGCTTTCCACTGCAGTTGTGTTTTGTTACAGTCTGTTTTCTCCCCTTGTGTCTCATGCACTTTCATGGGTAGGGGGGAAAAAAAATTGCATTTGCTTTTGGAAGCTTTTTCTGGGCGACCCTTAACTCTTACCTTGAGTTTAAGAGAATAATCCTCTTTGTACGTCTCTTAATCGAGGAATAATAATATATTCCCCTCTCTCTCTGTCTCTGTCTCTCTGTCTCTCAAGGAGTTTGTAATTCCATGTCCTCAAAATTATCTAATTGTTTCTGACGTCCTCAGTATTATGGCGATTATTGCTGTATATTTTTAAAGGTGTTTGAAACCTTTGAGCGAGTCATGGAATTAACACACAGCAGTTAAACACAAACACACACACACATATATATACACACACACACGCACAGTGTGTACAGTTTAGACTCTGATGTGGAAGTAGATTTGCATAAAAAGTAAATTGAATTCAGACTGTGGTCGAAATGCAATAGTTCCAATACGATTTGCATTTGTAAAATAAACTCAGACCCCTTTGCCTTTTTCTTTGCTTTGATCGTGTTTAAAAGGAAGGAGATAAGTCGTCGTTTCTAATGCTTTTTTTAATCTGTCTGTCTGTCTCTCTCTCTCTAATTCAATCTTAAGTGAAAAAATAACCTGGCAATATATGTTGAGTGTGTAGTTTGCAAATTGGACTTGGATGTCTCCAACAATTGATCCTTAACTGTTTTTGGGGTTGAAAGTGGCTGGATACATACACAGTCGTGTTCCTGCTGGGTGGAACTTTCACTGGAGTTGGAATATATTAAAGAATTTGCTTATGTTAAGTGAGAGAAGCTGTGGATCCTGTCCCCAAACAGGACACAGACAACAGTGAACTTCATAAACGCCTCCATTCAACCGTTTTGACACACAGGATAAAACTCTTGTATGTCAACAACACCAAAAAAAGAAGTTGAGGGAGGCGTTATAGAAAGACTACAAAACACATTGTGGTGACATTCATGGGCCCTAAAGAACCTTGGTGCTGGGTGAAGCTGAAGGTCTCACAGGGAGTAGTGCAGAGACGATGTTGTGTGGGAGTGTTGGTGTTGTGTTGTGTGGGGGTTTTGGTGTTGTGTTGTGTGGGGGGTGTTGTTGGTGTGGGTGGGTGTTGTGTCTGCTGGTAAATATCACCTTAGACCCTCCATTGTCACCACTAACTGATCTGAGCTGTACTGTCATTGGCATCAAGTATCAATAACCCAGTGCCTTATCTGGTTTGACAAACTATCTGGTAGGTGAGGAGAGTCTTTTCTCAATGATTATCTGTCATGATCAAGGCTGATCAATGGTTCCTTTTGTTGTAAGCAACTGACTAGGAACCTCGAAGTCTTAAATAGGGCCTTGTAACCTCCTCCCTCCCACCTCCTCCTCCTCTCTATTAACTTACCTCCTCCTCACCTCAACTCAGGCTTTACCTACAGTAGTAGTTCTGAAGCTGGGGGAACTAATGAGGACACCAGCCCCTATTAAGAGAGTTCCTTGCTAACTGCTCATTTCCACACGTCTTACTGTGATGCTTCACTGTGTTCTCTCTCTTTCTCTCCTGCCCTCTCTTCTCTGCAAACCCTCTATTTAATACCCACTGCATTAAAAAAATATATTTTTGTGTGTGGACACACACACACACACCCTGCATTCATGTTGCAAAACACTGATGGGAGACAGAGACAGGATTTTTTTTATTGCAGAGCCACTGACAGTAACATAACTGTTCCTAACAGCTGTTGGTGAGTTAGTGATCCCCATGTGAGAAAGGTCTTATCTCAATGGGCATCAGATAAATGTTCTGTTGAGTGTTTTTTTTATCCTTGAACCCCCACAATGTGTGGTTTGAGCGGTGGCCCCTTCTTTTTCCCTTCCTCCCCCCCCACCACCACCTCTCCTTGCAAGTGGAACTGAATGGAAACCTTTTGAGTCGAACTGAAGTCTGCTTTGAGGGCTGGAGGGAACAGAGGAAATCAGATCAGACATAAAGTTTCTTGTTGGTTTTAGTAATATAACACAGATCCTGTTGGAAAAGTACCGTTACTGTTTCTTTTTATTTAAAAAAAAGTCTGCTAACGAGCTCAAGGTTTACTGTGAATTATATGCACTGTTCATGTCTGATACAGACAGATTTGAACTGTCAAAAGCTAATGTTCAAGAGGGAGGGAGTCTTGGCATTTCAAATTGGTAGTTTATTTTATATTAAGAAAAACGAGGATTATTAACGTTCTGTTTTTTTGGCCCTGTCTGTGTTTTTATGCTTTTTTTGCTGGTGTGGATATAATGGGGGGGGGTGGGGTGTTTCTTGCAAAAAGTCTCTGAATTTAAAGGAATGAGAGAGTGGGATTATAAAATGCATTGCAGTTCTATTTGGGTCTTAGTTCCAGGAGTGACTGTCATGATGAAAGTTATTGTCTGGGCAGAGACACACTCTCAAGTCTGACTATCATCGAGACAACTCTTCAGGACTGGGATAGTAATCTCCGTTTGGAAATTGGAAATCACGTCCAAAAAAGTTAATCCGTGACAATTTTAGCCTGGAGTTAGCTGAGAAACTGCCTTTCGAGACGGTTTTCAGCCAGGGGTCAATGTTAAATGATATGAGTTCATATTTTACAGGGGACAATTGGCCGATCAGTTCAATGCATAATTGAAATGTTTTAACTTTTATTTAAGAGCTAGTAAATAAAACCTAACTGAATATTGGAATAGGGTGGGTTAATAAAAAAAAAGCGTGATTAAAAACAAAGTGGATAAGAGTGATAGCATTGGGAAAGAAATAAATGGATTGAGAAAAGGCAAGTTGTTTAAATGTTTTATTTGAAGTATTTATTTTGTAGCACATGGTTAATAATTGCAGTAATAAAATTTCTCTCCAGAAGCTTATTACTGAAACTGCATGGTTTTTCACCGAGTGCCTATTAGATTTAGACTTTACAGTATGTTCTGTGAAGGGTTTTGAGAACTGTATCAAATGCAGGATTATTATTATTTTTATTGTAGATAGATTTATAAGATTTGGAATACTTGGAACTGTCTGGAGCATCTGTGAATCTAAAGGGTTAAAAGTGGTCTTGAAAGTGAGTTTCATCTTTAAAGGTTACAATCAGTGGTTGAAGGAAAAAAATGTCACTCAAAATGAAAGACAGAGAGAGAGAGAGCGAGTAGGGCTCACATGTCAGCTCATAAGCTAAAGGATCTGATGAAGGAACTTTAATTGAAACTGTTTTTTTTAAAAAAAAGTTGATTTGTGTGATGTATGTAATATTTCTGTCAACACCGGAGCACGGAGTTAATCCGAATTTAGCAATCCTGGTTTAACTTCAGGCAATAGTTGAAGAGTATGGAAACAAACCACTAAATAATAATAATAATTCTTGCATTTGATGTAGCGCCTTATCACATCTTCGAGACGTCTCAATTGACTGTATTTTGTGGGCGAAACGCGGTATGATTCTAGGCTCTTATTACTTGTGATCGTTTTCATTCAGTGGTTGTAGAGGAGGGTCTGTTTACTTGAGGACACCTTTCGAAGCTATAATCTTTACCATGTTTTTGCATGTTTTTAACTCAGTTCTGCGCTTTTTCAACTGGTGCTTTTACTGCTGATTTTTAGATTGTTAAAAAAATAAACAGCAGTGAAAGCTGAGAGAAAGGTAATGGAAGCCGTGCTAAACAACACTGCTGTTCTACTTCTGTGACCTTGGTTCAACTCCAACGCAGACTGATGGGACGTCTCTCTCGCGCGCTCTCTCTCTCTCTCTCTCGCTCCTATACCACAGTGAAGTGGGTTAAAAGCAAACTTGACCTAATAGTGTGTCAACCTGGCTCGATGGTGGTGCTCTTACCATTGAGTCATAAGGTCTGGATTCAAGACCCACATTGCGAATTTGTACTCATATAGATACGGTGTCTCTCCAATGCAATGCTGGAGGTGTGCTGCAATGTTACAACTCCCGTCCTGCAGATGAGATGATAATAGTGAGGACCTGTTCGCCTATTCAGGTGCACATTAAAGATCCATTATTGACATTATCCAAATAGAGAAAGGAGTTTCTCCCAGTAACGTGGCCAACAATCCTCCAAATAAAACTGTTCAGCGACTTGC